TCCCATTTCACAGTGGCTCCCCCCACCACAGCTTAGTTAAATCCCTTCCAAAGTGATATAGTTAAACAAAAGACATTAAAATGGGAATCTGAGTGTTCACCTAGGGAAATATATCAACTACAGTGCTTTAAATTCACACCCTAGTTTATCTTAGATGAACCATAACTCCATGTCTACACTAGGAAAGTATTTTGAAATTACTAACTCTTCATTTAACAAATTTGAACTAGCATGTCCAGCCTCGCTCCCCTTCTCCCAATGATCCTCAGCCTGATCCCCTCCATCGCCCTATTCCCCTGAGTGCAACTCTTGCCCCCTCCCTTCTGCCCCTGCAGCCTGATCTCCTATATTGCCCCATGCCCCTCAGTGCAACCACTACTCCCTCCCATCCTGTCCCCATATCCTCCTCCCTCCCCCCAGGCCGAGTATCCCTAGGACCCCAGTGTACTCACCAGCATAGCAGCAGGACTGGGACTTGCAGCTTCCCGGGAGTAGTGTTGTGATGAGTGGGAGAGGGGGCCAGGGGCAGGTGCAGCGGCTCTTCCCTGCCTGGCTCAGCCCTTTGCCTGAAGGCAGCAGCTCTGGGGCTGGGGCTAGGGTTGGGGTTGGGACAGGCAGAGCCCAGGGTTGCCCAGCGCTGGATCCAGCCATGCTGGGTGCAGGGCGGTGCTGTGGAAAGGTCTCCCCAACCCAACACACAGTCCGTAGGGAACAGCACAGCATAGTCCGGTCCCCAGCATGCCATGTGTGCCAGCTGTCCAGCCCTGGCTCTGCGGAGACGGCCCAGCCCGGCCCCCTCCCAAAGTAGGAGGCATGCCTTTTCTCCCCTTCCCCACCAACCAGCAAGTTAACAAAGAGAGGCAGCTGCCCGGCCAGCTGGCCGTGGTGACTAGCTTCTAGGGGCACCACAATCAACTGGTTGATCGCGATTGACCAATTGGTGACCACTGCCATATTGCATGTGTGATTTTGCCTACCTAATTGGAGTACTTTACATTTCTATTTGTTGAATCCCATTCTATTTATTTCAGATCATTTCTCCAATTAGTCCAGATTAGTACTTTGAATAATAATCCTAGCTTCCAAAGTACTTTCTGCCATTATCTACATCACTGATGAAGATACTGAACAAACCCAAAACAGATCCCTGCAGAACCCCACTTACCAGTATTATGCCCTTTCAGCATGACTGTGATCCTTTGATCTTTGATCCACTCTTTGGGAATGGTTATCCAAACAGCTATGCACCCACCTTATATTAGCTCCATGTAGGTTGTATTTCTCTAGTTTATTAATGAGATGGTCATTTGAGATTCTATCACATGCCTTATTCAATCTAGATGTACAACATTTACTGATTTTCCCTTATCCACAAGGCCTGTTATCCTATTAAATAACGCTATCAAGTTGATTTGACATGATTTGTTCTTTACAAATCCATGCTGACTGCTACTTATCTTATTTTCTTCTAGATGTTGTAGATGTATTTCTTAATTATTTGCTCCATCATCTTTCCTGGCACAGAAGTTAAGCTGACAGCACTGCAATATTATTCTCTTTAAAAAAACACTTGTATGTGTGCTGCTAAACAACAGAATTAAATACAAACTTGTAAGCTTGACATGGATTTATACAAACTCACATCAAAGGTGAGGAACAGCAGCATCAAAAGTCAATGCACCCAAAATCAGCATGCTGTTAAAAACTTTGAGTATGTGATTTTTTCGTGCTAACACAGGAAGGCTGTGTCTACACTGCACCCCCTTTCCGGAAAAGGGATGCAGATTAGACTCTTTGTAATAGCAAAATCCGTGGGGGATATTTAAATACCCCGCGGATTTTGCTATTCCGATGTGCTACATTAGCATCCCTTTTCCGGAAGGGATGCCAGTGTAGACACAACCGAAGTGTGTGGCAGAAACAGGAAAACCAATAATCTCTCAAGCCCA